GGAAGACAAGTAAAACGGTGTTAATAATATACACAGATTTCGCAAAATCTTTCGACACGTGTAACCATTGTGTTATTGCACACAAAATACACACAAAAGGAATTACTAGCAAAGTAGGGAGGAATATTAAATAATATTAGAGGAACTGGTTCCAAATCTGCGCACGGAAGTAACACCACATGAGACCAGAGGTGGAATAGGTGACCAGAGGTGCAATAGGTACGCTGAGAGAGAGAACTGTCTCAGCATCAGAGGCCCGAGACTGTTCAACACGCTCACACCACACATAAGGGACATAACTGATCTCACGGTGTTCAAGAGTATCTCGACATCCTCCAATAGATACCTGATCAACCAAACCGTGATTCATTCATCAGGCTGCGAGCAGCCACATCCAACAGTCTGGTTGACCAGACGACCAACCAAGAGGCCTCCTCAAAGACCGGGCCGTGGAGACGTTGATCCTTGGAATGACAGCAATATATCTTGATTATCTCAATGTAAGAAAGAACACAGTCCTAATATTCCAAAATGAGAACATACATGAGCCACTGACAAATATTACAAATAAAGTGCTGGAAAGTTTTTAATGAAAGGGCAGCATGAGTTTAGCAGGGGGAGTCATGCCTGACAAACTTGATCAACTACTGTGACACGGTTAGTAAAATACGATAGGAAAAGGAAGGCTGGGTAGACTGTTTTCGTAGCTTGTCAAACAGCATTTATGTTCCTCATAACAGAGTGTATAACTGAGAAGACACTCTAGATAAGGAAGTACCTGGAAATAGAGACACGAGAGAGAGAGGCAGAGAGTGAGAGAGGTGGTGGAGGTGGAGGAATGTGACCAGCAGGCTCTACCTTCATTATCGACCTTGTGATCGTTCCTGGGGGCAACGTCCCCGGGGCTCTGGCAGTCACCTCGTACATGTTAATTTAATATTTACAGACGATACAAAGCTAATGAGGAACATACATGACAAGGAGAACTGTAGAAAGTCACACAGAGACCTTGATAAACTCCAGGAGTGGCCAAACACATGCTTACTAGATTTCAATCCCATGGACACCCTCTTTAAACTGAGAGCAAGCAGGACGAGAGGACATAAGTGGAAGCTGGAAACGCAAATAAGAAATAAGAAGAAATAAAGGAAATACTCGAACCCTGTATGAGTGGTCAACAAGTGGAATGGACTAAAGGAAGTTTCAGAAGCCACGTCCATCCACAAACTTAAGAACAGTTTGAACAAAGAATTCGAACGTTAGAATTCTTAGAATACTTAAATTTTAGCGCTACGGATACAAGACCAGTAGGCGGGGAATAAAGAACTCCACTTCACTCCCAATAGTCAGTAAGAGGCAAGTACTGATAGATACGTACGAGTCAATTATGGGTCGATAGACGGGACCATAGCGTCGTAGCCATCCCCCCCCCCCCACATATACATGTAGGTGAATACGCACATACCTACTCACATTGAGGAAATGTATGTGTTTATCTCTCAGAATGTTTGGTAATATGTTTATTGTTTGTGATGTGTGTCTATGTATGTATTAACACGATGTACTGAACGGGGTGAAAATAGCTTGAGCTACCTCATCCCTTTGTGTGTATTTTACCTCAATAAACTTATTTCAATTTCAATTACTCACATTGTGACGGCTTCTTTATTGTGTTCTTTACATGTAAGGTCTTCCCACATGAGTACATCCAAATCCTTTACATTACTTTTTCGTTCTATGTTATGATTTGATTGTATTTTGTACGTGGTTTCCGTTTTTATATTTTAATTTTTTCCGTAGCGCATGAGCTGAAACTTATCTTCATAAAACACCATATTATTTTCTGTAGCCCATTGAAAGACCTGATTGACATCTGATTGGAGGTTTGCCGTGTCCTCTATGTTGTCTACTTTCATAAAAATCCTAGTGTCATCTGCAAATGATGATACAGTACTGTAGGTTGTGCCCTTGTCTATGTCAGATATGAGGATGAGAAAAAGTACTGGCGCAAGCACAGTACCCTGGGAGACTGAGCTCTCCACGGTTGATGGATCGGATTTTATTTTGTTGACTATTACACATTGGGTTCTGTTAGTCAGAATATTGTAAATCCATCTGCCTATTTTTCCGGTAATTCCTTTTGAACGCATTTTGTGTGCAATAACACCATGGTCACATTTGTCAAAGGCTTTTGCGAAATCACACACACACACACACACACGCACACCACACTCTCATATGTGCACACCCATACATATACGCACACACACTCATACACAGAGTTAAGTGGTCAGCATTTGCGTTTCACAATACCGGGACCCGGGTTCGATTCCCGGCCGAGGCAAACAGTTAGGCAGCCTTTTTCATCTAATGCCTTCTTTCACGTACCAGTATACCTGCGAGTTAATGTGGGCAGCATCCTGGGGATGTGTGTGAGCAAGATCTGGTAGATATGACAGAGGAAATAGGTCAAGAGTCAATAGAGTCGACAAGAGACGGTTAGAAAGGCGGGGTCCAAGAGCTAATAGCTCGAACATGGACATACTCTGCAGGAAACACTTTATTAAAGTTTCCCATACGGTCAGGTGGGGGGGGGGGTAAGTGTTTCTGTGGGGCCGGGGGGGGGGGGGTGTTTCTAGAAGGGGGGGCCGGGGGGGGGGTGTTTCTAGGGGGGGGGGCGAGGGGTTGTTTCTTGGGGGGGGGCCAGGGGGGTGTTTCTGGGGGGCCGGGGGGTGTAGCTGTGACACACACTCCACACATGTCCCCCCCCCCCCCCCAGGCTTGTCCACTGCGTCCATAGTATCGTATTGAGCATTTAAGGCGATGTTTGTGGCCCGCATTAACTAAGTGTCCGTTATCAACCAGCCCATATTGAGGCACACCCTCTGGTTATATGTGTAAATGACCCTTAGTCTCAGAGAAGAGAATATAGAACATTCTAGGAATCCATTTTAAACCCTTTGAATTTTGTCTCCTACAACCCCCACTTTTGTATTTGTGCTTTATTATACAAAGTTACACGGTTGTAATTTTAGACGCTGTAGAGTTGTTACCTGGTTGATGGGGTTCTGGGAGTTCTTCTACTCCCCAAGCCCGGCCCGAGGCCAGGCTTGACTTGTGAGAGTTTGGTCCACCAGTCTGTTGCTTGGAGCGGCCCCCAGGCCCACATACCAACCACAGCCCGGTTGGTCCGGCACTCCTTGGAGGAAAAAATCTAGTTTCCTCATGAAGATGTCCACGGTTGATCCGGTTCATATTCCATGGACGCTGGGAAGCAATAGAGGATGCAGTGGAAATTTACCCTCTGGATCGCCTCATTGTCGCGCTGGAAAAGGAGAGTAACTGCTGTAGTCTCTTGTTGTTTTGATGATTCACCAGCCTGTCACCCAGATACCTGAACAAGCTGCTGACACTTCCAATAGACCCAACGTCACCAGTCCAATAAGAACACAGTTGTGGCAGTGGTCTATTTCCCAGCACTTATTGGAGTTAACAGTTTCCCTGTGGCCGGGAGTACTTAGGTACACACATCTATATTTATATATTGATCTGTCCGAGGTGGGAGGCCAGACGCTTGGGAATAGTCTCAACAAACTTTGCACCCTGATTCCTGTGAGGTGTATGCTCAACATGGCCAGGTCAGGAACAACAGATTTTAGCAGGGGCACCGGCGCTCAGTTCCCTAAATACTTTGAAAAATAAATATATAATTTTTATTATAGTATTTTCATACATGAACTCGTATCAGGAAAAATGAACTAATATTTTATTTATCATACTATGACCGTAAAGTGTGAAAGCATGTAAAATCGAGCCTCTACCATCTTCCAGGCCCCTTCTCTTCCTTAAACCAAGGTGAAACTATTTGATTATGTGTATATTTTATTAATTATAAGACACGTGTTGATATTATAGCGTAGAGAGAGACAGAAAACAAACTCCTTTGGGTTCCCCGGACCGACCCAGGCATCGCCGGTTATCCTATCATATATATAAATAAATATATATATATATATATATATATATATATATATATATATGTCGTACCTAGTAGCCAGAACTCACTTCTCAGCCTACTATGCAAGGCCCGATTTGCCTAATAAGCCAAGTTTTCATGAATTAATGTTTTTTCGTCTACCTAACCTACCTAACCTAACCTAACCTAGTTTTTTTTGGCTACCTAACCTAACCTTACCTGTATATATAGGTTAGGTTAGGTTAGGTAGGGTTGGTTAGGTTCGGTCATATATCTACGTTAATTTTAACTCCAATAAAAAAAATTGACCTCATACATAGTGAAAAGGGTAGCTTTATCATTTCATAAGAAAAAAATTATAGTAAATATATTAATTCAGGAAAACTTGGCTTATTAGGCAAATCGGGCCTTGCATAGTAGGCTGAGAAGTACGTTATGGCTACTAGGTACGACATATATATATATATATATATATATATATATATATATATATATATATATATATATATATATATATATATATATATATATATATATATATATATATATATATATATATATATATATATATATACACCGCGCATACCTATATTATACATGTCTGTACATTTATACATGTTTTAACAATATTTTATAGTATTGTTTTAGAGTACATTAAAACTATATATTGATTACATTAACACTACATATTGATATATATATCCACATCATTTGTTTACCTATGCCATTACACATAAAAATCCGCGCACGTATACATTATTTAGTGTCGATTTCACATGAATGTATGGAAACATATCCATTATTTGGCGCGAGTGAATGGTGCGCGGGGCGGGAACATTGTTATTCCCGCCACCCGCCCACCCTCCTTCAAGGGTAATGGCCTCTCCTTACCTCCTTCCCTTCCTACCCTACGTCTCTGTCTTCCTCAGAGCTAAGGCAGAGCTCCAGGATGGCGGGAATATGGTAAGACCATGTAGTGTGTTGTCTTGGGATGTGACTGACCAAGTTGCTTTGGTTGCCGCAGGTGGCGCATGACTGCCGGGGCGACGCTGGCGCCCTCTACCACCAGTTCGGCGTGACGCTCAACAATGTCTTCGACACCCAGGTGAGTACTGCCTCTCCACCGTCACTATAGATACACATTAGGTACCCCGAATACGCATTAGGTACCCCGAATACACTTTAGGTACCCCGGATACAATGTATACAAATTAGGTACCCCGGATACAGTGGATACACATTAGGTACTCCGGATACAGTAGATACAAATTAGGTACCCAGGATACACTGGATACACATAAGGTACCCTGGATACAGTGGATACACATTAGGTACTCCAGATACAATGGATACACAGTAGGTACCCCGGATACAGTGGATACACATTAGGTACCCCGGATACAGTGGATACACATTAGGTACTCCGGATACACATTAGGTACTCCGGATACACATTAGGTACTCCGGATACACATTAGGTACCCCGGATACACTGGATACACATTAGGTACCCTGGATACAGTGGATACACATTAGGTACTCCGGATACACATTAGGTACCCCGGATACACTGGATACACATTAGGTACCCTGGATACAGTGGATACACATTAGGTACTCCGGATACACATTAGGTACTCCGGATATACATTATGTACCCCGGATACACTGGATACACATTAGGTACCCTGGGTACAGTGGATACACATTAGGTACCCCGGATACAATGTATACCAATTAGGTCTTCTTATTTCCATCTCACATGAATAACCTTCATAGTCCATGGAGACATTTGCCAATTAATTCACTCTTTCATTCTAATCTTTATAACGTTTGTTGCAACTGCTGAGTAAACTCCTGAAGTAAGTGACTTGTTGTTGCTGGAAAGAGTCCAAAATGATGGTTTGAGCGATGAAGAGACAGTGTTCTCAGTTTACGAGACTATGAAAAGTTTAAGTTTGGTTAACTTGAGTGTAGCCAGACGCGTGTGCCCAGGAGGGCGGCAGTACCCTGGAGGGCTCCTCGCCCCAGGTCCTCGTAACTTGTGGCAGACCTGGGGCCACATTCACGAAACACTTACGCAAGCTCTGTTAGTTCTTGGACCCCGCCTTTCTAACCATCGGTTGCTTATGTACCGACTCCTGACCTATTTTCCTCTGTCATAACTACTACATATATTTTTAACACACACACACACACACACACACACACACACACACACACACACACACACACACACACACAATGTGTGTGTGTGTGTGTGTGTATGTCTCTCTCTCTCTCTCTCTCTCTCTCTCTCTCTCTCTCTCTCTCTCTCTCTCTCTCTCTCTCTCTCTCTCTCTCTCTCTCTCTCTCTCTCTCTCTCTCTCTCATAGGGAAAAAAACATGGCAGATAGGCCAACTCGGGAAAACAAATGCAGGAGGACAAACATGACAGGAACAATCTCAGAGGAAAGGGAGGGACAGGAAGCCTGAATTAAGGATTTAATCTAACAAATAAGGACAGAATTCAGTGGAGGAATGAGGGTAATGAGGGAGACAGTAACCAACCTGCAGGATGAGCTGAAGGCAGCAAAGAAGGAAATAAAAAGCCTGAGAGAGAATCCTACTCAATACCAGACACAAACCACCGCTCAGGGAGGCGGTAATGTTCTTGTAGAGGGGACTTCTACAATACAACCTTCATTTGCAGAATTGTTTAAAAAGAGCCCTAAACCTAGGTCTGCAGTAAGGAAAGTTGCCATGGAAGTGGCCTCTTCTCAGGAAGCAGCTAGATGTACTAACCGGCTGATAGAGAGAAAAAGAGCAGTAGTAGTAGCAGGCGTTAAGGAGCAAACAGGGACCAGCCCATCAGAGAGGAGTGACAAGGACAAAAATGCAGTTACTGAGATCCTTAAAGACATAAGGATTGAGAGGGCTGACCAGAATATTGAAAAGGTTTTCAGGTTATGAAAGTACAGCAAGGACAAAGACCGACTGATAAAGGTGGTATTCATGAGCACAAACACGAAAGAGGACTTGTTAGCAAAGAAAAGTGGACTAGCAACTGTACCAAAGTTCAGAAAAGTATTCCTGCAGAGGGATATGACAAGGGACAAGAGAATGAGGGCAGCAGATGCGAGGAAGGAGCGCAGGGAGAAAGAAAGGAGTCAGGGAACCACAACCCCAAACCCTACAATCCCAGAGGGGAGTGGGGAACCCTCCACAAGAAGGTCAACAGCCACAGGGAGAGGAGCACCACCCCCACCTTCTGCCCAATAGACAGCCTTCCTGCCCCAACCCCTGCCAGCCCCCCATTAAGTGCCGACCTAGGGCATCCTCCCCCCACTCACACCCCCCTCCCCAGGACCTCCCTTCTCCCCCAACCCCTCCCTTCTCCCCCCATGCCCTCCCATCTCCCCCACCCCCAAGCCCTCTGTTCTCCCCCACCCCCCTAAGCCCGCCCTTCTCCCCCACTCCCCTAAGCTCTCCTTCCTCACCCCCTCAGCTCTCCCCTTCCACCCCCCTCCATTCTCCCCCACCCCCTAAGCCCGCCCTTCTCCCCCACTCCCCTATGCCCTCCCTTCTTCCTCACCCCCCTCAGCTCTCTCTTACCTAAGGACGTCCCCCTCCTTAGGCCCTCCAATCCCGAACCCTCCCAGTTTCCCTGCTTCATGGGAGTCAACAGAAACTGAGGAAGGACAGAAGAGAGTCAGTTTCAGGGTGATGTACTTGAACATAGATGGGATTACAAGCAAGGCAAGTGAACTTAGGGAAAGAGCACAAGAAGTGAACCCAGATATAATCGAACTCACAGAAACAAAACTCTCAGCATTCATAACGAATGCGGTGTTTCCCCAGGACTACACAGTTGTAAGGAAAGAGAGGGAAGGTAGGGGAGGAGGCAGAGTGGCCCTACTAATGAGAGTTTCAAGGAGATGGCTATCCCTGGCTAAGAGGGATTCAGTGACTACATAACAGGCACCATGACAATGGGAGGACCAAAAGTAGTAGTAGCAGTGATATACGTAAATATGATAAATATGATAACCCTCCACCAAATGACAGAAGACCCAGGCAAGAATATGACAACAACAACATGGCAGTTAACACTATAATTGAGAGGGCACCCTCTGCTGCTTGTAGAAATAGATCTCATCTGCTCATCATGCGGAACTTCAATCATGGACGGATAGACTGGGAGAACAAGGAACCGCATGGAGGTGAGGGTACATGGACTACATCATGCAGAAGACATGATGGACTTCATCACACAGAAGTGTAAGGAGGCAGCAGACAAGTTTGTCCCGGTCCAAAAAGAAAAGAACGAAATGCAGATGAGAAACCCATGGTTTAACTAGAGATGTCAGCTAGTTAAGCGGCAAAGTGAAAGAGCGTGGAGAAACTATAGAAATAACAGGACACTCGAGAGCAGAGAAAGATACCAGAGTGCCAGGAATGAATGTCAGGTTGAGAAGAGAGGCAGAAAGGCAATACGAAAATGACATCGCAAGCAAGGCAAAGACTCAGCCTAAATTGCTGCACAGCCACATCAGGAGAAAAACAACAGTAAAGGACAGGTAATAAAATTAAGGATAAGGGCAGAAGAATTCACTACAAACGACAAGGAAGTGTGTGAGGAACTGAATAAGACATTCCAGGAGGTCTTCACATTAGAGCAAGGGGAAGTTCCAAAGATAAGAGAGGGAACAGAAAACCAGGAACCATTAGAAGAGTTTGAGATTACCAGCGGGGATGTAAGGAAGTTCTTGCTAGAGTTGGATGTGACAAAGGCTATAGGCCCGGATGGAATCTCCCCATGGCTACTAAAGAAAGGAGCAGAAGCACTGTGCCTGCCACTCTCCATAGTGTATAATAAATCACTGGTAACAGGGGAATTGCCAAAAATTTGGAAGACTGTTAATGTAGTCCCGATATACAAAAAGGGGGATAGACAGGAAGCACTGAACACTGGCCAGTGTCCCTAACTTGCATACCATTAAATCTTGTTATCTTGAGATGATTTTGGGGCTTTAGTGTCCCGGCAACCCGGTCCTCGACCAGGCTTCCACCCCCAGGAAGCAGCCCGTGACAGCTGACTAACACCCAGGTACCTATTTACTGCTAGGTAACAGGGGCATAGGGTGAAAGAAACTCTGCCCATTGTTTCTCGCCGACGCCCGGGATCGAACCCGGGACCACGGGATCACAGTCCAGCGTGCTGTCCGCTCGACCGATCGGCTCCATGCAAGCTGATGGAGAAGATTGTGCGAAAAAAGCTAGTGGAACATCTGGAGCGATAGAACTTTATGACACAACATGAACATGGGTTCAAGGATGGCAAGCTCTACCTCACAGGATTAATTGAATTCTATGACCAGGCAACAAAAATCAGGCAAGAAAGAGAGGAGTGCACAGACTGCATATCTTTGGATTGCCAGAAAGCCTTTGACACAGTACCACACAAGAGGCTAGTGAAAAAGTTGGAGATGCAGGCAAGAGTGAAAGGGAAGGTACTCCATTGGATAAGGGAGTACCTAAGCAACAGAAGACAGCGAGTCATTGTGAGAGGTGAGGCCTCAGATTGGCGAGACGTTACAAGTGGAGTCCCGCAGGGTTCAGTCCTTGGACCTATACTGTTTCTGATATTTGTAAATGATCTCCCAGAGGGTATAGAATCGTTCCTCTCATTGTTTGCTGATGATGCAAAAATTATGAGGAGGATTAAAACAGGTGATGATAGTAGGAGGCTACAAGAACACCTAGACAGACTGAATGAATGGTCCAACAAATGGCTACTAAAGTTCAACCCGAGTAAATGCAAGGTCATGAAACTAGGCGGTGGAAACAGGAGGCCAGACACAGAATACCGAATGGGAAATGAAGTACTTCATGAAACGGACAGAGAGAAAGATCTAGGAGTTGATATCATACCAAACCTGTCTCCTGAAGCCCACATATAAAGAACTACATCTGCGGCATACGCGAAGCTGGCTAACATCAGAACAGCCTTCAGGAACTTGTGTAAGGAATCATTCAGAACCTTGTATATGGCATATGTAAGACCAATCCTGGAGTATGCGGCCCCAGCATGGAGCCTGTACCTAGTCAAGCGCAAGGCGAAGCTTGAAAAAGTTCAGAGGTATGCCACTAGGCTAGTCCCAGAACTAAGAGGCATGAGTTACGAGGAAAGGCTGCGTGAAATGCACGTCACGACACTGGAAGACAGAAGAGTAAGAGGAGACATGATCACTAGCTACAAAATTCTCAGAGGAATTGACAAGGTAGATAAGGATAAACTTTTTAACACAGGTGGTATGCGAACAAGGGGACAGTTGGAAACTGAGTACCCAAATGAGCCACAGGGATGTTAGAAAGAACATTTTTTCAGTGTCAGAGTAGTTAACAAGTGAAATGCATTAGGAAGTGATCTGGTGGAGGCTGACTCCATACACAGCTTCAAGTATAGATATGATAGAGCCCAATAGGCTCAGGAACCTGTACATTAGGCGATTGAAAGTACAATTAGGTAAGTATACACACACACACACACACAAAGACTTGGGGGTTGATATCACGCCAGACCTGTCTCCTGCAGCACATATCAAGCGGATAACATCAGCGGCATATGCCAGGCTGGCCAACATACGAACGGCATTCAGAAACTTGTGTAAAGAATCATTCAGAACTTTGTATACCACATATGTCAGGCCAATCCTGGAGTATGCAGCCCCAGCATGGAGTCCATATCTAGTCAAGGATAAGACTAAACTGGAAAAGGTTCAAAGGTTTGCCACCAGACTAGTACCCGAGCTGAGAGGTATGAGCTACGAGGAGAGACTACGGGAATTAAACCTCACTTCGCTGGAAGACAGAAGAGTTAGGGGGGACATGATCACCACATTCAAGATTCTGAAGGGAATTGATAGGGTAGATAAAGACAGTCTATTTAACACAAGGGGAACACGCACAAAGGGACACAGGTGGAAACTGAGTGCCCAAATGAGCCACAGAGATATTAGAAAGAACTTTTTTAGTGTCAGAGTGGTTGACAAATGGAATGCATTAGGAAGTGATGTGGAGGAGGCTGACTCCATACACAGTTTCAAGTGTAGATATGATAGAGCCCAATAGGCTCAGGAAACTGTACACCTGTTGATTGACAGTTGAGAGGCGGGACCAAAGAGCCAGAGCTCAACCCCCGCAAACACAACTAGGTGAGTACACACACACACACACACACACACACACACACACACACACACACACACACACACACACACACACACACACACACACACACACACACACACACACCACCTGGCAAATGGAATTTAATGTTAATAAATGTCATGTTATGGAATGTGGAATAGGAGAACATAGACCCCATACAACCTATATATTATGTGATAAATCTTTAAAGAATTCTGATAAAGAAAGAGATCTAGGGGTGGTTCTAGATAGAAAACTATCACCTGAGGACCACATAAAGAATATTGTGCAAGGAGCCTATGCGATGCTTTCTAACTTCAGAATTGCATTTAAATACATGGATGGCGATATACTAAAGAAATTGTTCATGACTTTTGTTAGGCCAAAGCTAGAATATGCAGTTGTTGTGTGGTGCCCATATCTTAAGAAGCACATCAACAAACTGGAAAAGGTGCAAAGACATGCTACGAAGTGGCTCCCAGAACTGAAGGGCAAGAGCTACGAGGAGAGGTTGGAAGCATTAAACATGCCAAAACTAGAAGACAGAAGAAAAAGAGGTGATATGATCACTACATACAAAATAGTAACAGGAATTGATAAAATCGACAGGGAAGATTTCCTGAGACCTGGCACTTCAAGAACAAGAGGTCATAGATTTAAACTAGCTAAACACAGATGCCGAAGAAATATAAGAAAATTCACCTTCGCAAATAGAGTGGTAGACGGTTGGAACAAGTTAAGTGAGAAGGTGGTGGAGGCCAAGACCGTCAGTAGTTTCAAAGCGTTATATGACAAAGAGTACTGGGAAGACGGGACACCACGAGCGTAGCTCTCATCCTGTAACTACACTTAGGTAATTACACTTAGGTAATTACACACACACACACACACACACACACACACACACACACACACACACACACACACACAGCTGTGGCTCTTTGGTCAAAGAGTGTGTGTGTGTGTGTGTGTGTGTGTGTGTGTGTGTGTGTGTGTGTGTGTGTGTGTGTGTGTGTGTGTGTGTGTGTGTGTGTGTGTGTGTAAAATTACCTAAGTGTAGTTACAGGATGAGAGCTACGCTCGTGGTGTCTCGTCTTCCCAGCACTCTTTGTCATATTCAAAGTGTTATATGACAAAGAGTACTGGGAAGACGGGACACGAGCGTAGCTCTCATCCTGTAACTACACTTAGGTAATTACACACACACACACACACACACACACACACACACACACACACACACACACACACACACACACACACACACACACACACACACACACACACACACTCACACACTCTTTGACCAAAGAGCCAAAGCTCAACCCCCGCAAGCACAATTAGGTGAGTATACACACACAGAGGGATGGGGTATGAAGAGCGCCTGAGGGAACTGAACCTGACGACACTAAACAAAAGAAGGGAGAAGAGATATATGATAGAAACATATAAAATACTCAGGGGATTGACAGAGTGGAAATAAACGAAATGTTCACACTGAATACAAACAGAACAAGGGGACATGGGTGGAAGCTGGAAACTCATATGTGTTACAGGGATGTAGGATTTTTTCTTTTAGTGCGAGAGTAGTGGGAAAATGGAATGAACTTAAAGAGCAGGTTGTGGAAGCCAACTCTATTCATAATTTTAAAACTAGATATGATAGGGAAATGGGACAGGAGTCATTGCTATAAACAACCGATGGCTAGAAAGGCGGGATCCAAGAGTCAATTCTCTATCCTGCAGGCACAAATAGGTGAGTACACACTCAATCCTTTCAATGCTTGCTGATGATGCGAAAATTGTGAAGAGGATTGTAATGATCTGTACAAACCATGGCTTCTCCCCTCTCCCTTCTCCCTTTTCTCCTCTCCCTCCTTCTCCCTTTTCTCTTCTCCTTGTTCATTGGCCCCTTTCCTGTTGTCTCATTCCCCTTCCCTTTTCCCCTGCCTGTTGTCCAGCCATTCCCTTGCCATAAAACTTTTGGGGTCAGGTGTCCTTCCTGGGAGACCACCCCAATCCAATCCTCTTCCAATCTACGAGGGGGCCTCGTAGCCTGGTGGATAGCGCGCAGGACTCGTAATTCTGTGGCGCGGGTTCGATTCCCGCACGAGGCAGAAACAAATGGGCAAAGTTTCTTTCACCCTGAATGCCTCTGTTACCTAGCAGTAAATAGGTACCTGGGAGTTAGTCAGCTGTCACGGGCTGCTTCCTGGGGGTGGAGGCCGGGTCGAGGACCGGGCCGCGGGGACACTGAAAAAGCCCCGAAATCATCTCAAGATAACCTCAAGATAACCTCTCCTATTCCCTAATCACTCCCTCCAATCCTATTCCCTAATCCCTCCCTCAATCCTATTCCTAATCCCTCCCAATCCATCCGTCCCAACCATTTCCTCTCCTTCTCGGTCCTCTCTGTAACCAGTAAGGCATTGTGGGGTTCCCTAGGTGCCATAAACTCGGAGTCAGCCAGGGTCTGGGACCTCTGGCGCCAATTCCGAGCATTTGAGCGTGGGAACAGGTGAGTACTCTGTCAAGGGGAATTGACCCCTTATGGTCAAGCCTGGATCTGATTGGTTGAAAATCAGGGAGGTCTAGAGGAGGAGTCCCCCAGGGTAGGGCCTGACAATTCCATTGGCCAGGCTTCCAGAGTACCCAGTTTTCTTTAAATCCATTGGCTACAGTCTTGGAAAGGCGCGGTTAATTGGGCCTAGGAACTAAGTAGGTGGAACCTGTTCCCACTGGTAAGAGTTTAAGAAAATATTAAAGTTAGAGTGTCTTGGGGATTCAACTGGGGTACAGATCTCCTGATCTGTAGGGCAAGCCATTCAACATCGTTGGCAGATTGCAGCATTTAAGGTAAAGTGTGCTGGAGTATTATGTCAATCATTAGTCATACTATTACCTCGTAGGAGATTTTATTCGAGTAGGATATATTTTGTTTACTTTTGATAAATACTTGTTTACTATATATTAATGTTTTGGTGGTGATTTAAATACTGTAGTGGTAAAGAAGAGTGTATGTTGCAGGCGGCCCATGCTGTATTGCAGCAGCAGGAGACTGGGAAGCCGGTATACAAGGTGAAGAATGTCTCCCTCAACACCCTCTGTCGCTCCTACAATGCTCCAGTGAACCCTCGTAAAGACCAGGTTAGTGCCGTCTTCTCTTCTGCCTCCTTGGTCATACTCAGTTCATCCAACAGTACTAACATTATTCATTATTATGTATAATGCTTGCATCTGTATATTATGCTCATCTGTTGCTTAATTGTTTCATATCTTATCCATATACTGTACATTACAGTATATAAAATCTTCTCTTGTGTACAACAAGTTTTTATTGCTGAAATGTTTCAAATTTTTTGAAGTCATTTAATTGTCCTTTAAAAATTAGGGTTACAGTATCTGTTATTATTCATATACAGTATATGTGAAATTATGTATTTAGCTGAATATGTGTAAACCGTTAACACCCTCTCAGCAACAAAATGTAGTTTTTTCCATCCCATAACACATCCCACACAGCCTGCATTGAAACAGCAGGACATACAGTATGTGTGTGTGTGTGTGTGTATATGTGTGTATATATATATATATACAGTATATATATATTAATATATATTTTAATATGTATATGAGAAAGGTTACAAGAATACGCAACCCATAGATCACTAAGAACTCTAAATGACCTGACCAGGATTCGTATCTATGACATGATGCCCAGAATCACCCCCAAACATACACAGTACTGTGACCACCTCGCCATTAATCGTCTATAAGGATTTGTTAGTCCTGGTGCTTATTAACTCCATGACTAACCAACCCCCCGACGACACTCATGGTTCAATTTGGGTACGGTTTTTTATCAAATTCTGGCACATGCACAGGTTACATTAAGTCTACAAATGTGAGAAAGGCTGCAAGACTGCAAGTCTGCAAGCCATAGATCACTACATACAGGAATCCACAAAATTGACAAAAAGGAATTCTTGAAACCTGCACCTTCAAGATTCACACTAAGGAAACAAAGGTGCCAAACTAAATATTAGAATGTTCTCTTTTGCAAACAGGGTTGAAGAAGGTTGGAAAAACTTTACTGAGAAGGTGGTGAATGCCAAAATCTATAGTAGTTTAAAAGTGTCATATGGCAAAGAGTACTGGGAATATGGGCACAAACTCACATGCATGCATGTATATGCATGCAAATTTTACAAAAACCTTATGCTTTCTTTCAAAATTAAAAATATGCATTCTATCGAAAATTATCCTTGATGCAGATGAAGAATGTTTACCGTCGTGACCAGAGGTTCTGGGCACGGAGGCCATTGACAGAGGACATGATTGTGTATGCAGCTTATGATGTTGTGGCCCTTGTTCCAACAGTTTATGATGCCATGAAGAGGTAAATATATCAATCCTGCTTGTAGCTATCGTTATTTTTTTCTGAGAAAGTAGGACTATTTAATACAAAAAAAGAATAAATATCAAGAGAATGTGCCTCTGTGCAGTGTACATGTTTCATCTTAAACATTGCAATTATGGTATACAATACTACAATTACCTAAATTTACCTGAGGGTCACCATCTCTACTGCCTTCAACAAGAACAGGAATACATTAGGAAATCAGAATAGCATGATATATCTTAGTGCCCGAAACGCATTGCGTAATAGTGGCTTTAGGCATTGTATGTACTAGCTCTATCTATATATCAATCCATTAATGTAACATCACTTGTATGTATGTATGTACCTTACCTGAATAAACATATTTATTTATTTATTTATTTATTTAGTGGAAATCATTGAAGCAGGATGGGGGTCGAACCAGCATCTTGGGGTCATACTGAGTTAAGGTACACATCTGGGGCAACCCAGGATGCTGGCTCAATCCCCATCCTGCCTCAAAGATTTTTGCAAGGATAGGAAATCTGTCACCTTGTCAAAGGTACCCTCATTTTTTCTGAAGATTTTAGAATTTTCCTGAAGTTATTCAGAATTACAGACATAAATGCTTAACATTTCCAGATTTTTTCTTTACCTGAATTGTTATTGCACTTATCTATACGGTACAGTACTTATTTTGCACTGTACTGTATGAGTGTAGATTACCCTTTATTTTTATGATTGTATTCAGTACTATACTGTACAGTATTAATATACTGTGTTTAAATTACAGCATGAAAAGTAATTTACAGATTTTATGGCATATATTTTGTACAATAGCTGAAATTGAAGTCTGTAATGCCTCCAATATAAATATTTGGCTATTAGACAGCTGGACCCTGGATTACTGCCGCTATTTGAAGAATTGTGCCGAGAACAAGTGGAGGCGTTGATACAACCTGAAGAAGTCAAACAGAAGAAAAAACAAAGAAAAATTGAAACTGAAGTGGCTGAGTTGAAAAACAAGCTAGCAACTACTCAAGCTAGAGCGATTGTGTTGTCTAATAGAGAAATTAGACTTCTTAGGTAAGTAAAATACAAACTTTATATTGTACATTTTACATTATCATAGAAATTTGCTAATACAGTAATTTCTGAGGAAGCCTGTTGGTGGCTCCCTGAAGCTATCTCACTGAGATGACTTTCTGCTACTGGGTCACATCAATCATAGGAGTTCTGCTTGATCTACTGGGGACCAAAGCCAGAATCTGGCCTGCCCTCAGGCAGGCAGAGGCACAGAGGTGGGATTTATTATTGTGATCACTCACACCAAGGAAGCATTCAGCAAGTAAGCAAAATACTACAGACAACTGCGTGGTTCATCAAAACGAAGCACCAAAAGCAACATGTTCTTGACTCAAGTCCATTACATCCAGTGGTTGACCCCACAAACGCATTCATAAACTTTTATATGCTGTTAATTCAAAACAGGAATTTTCTCAAATAAAAATTAATATTCTAATATATTAGCATATTGTGCATATATAGGCATAGGCTAGGTTAGATTAGGTGTTTAGGTTCTGTTGGCGATTATTTATACTTGTAGCACATGGGTGAAGCATTTATAGTGTTGTGGTTCGAACAAAATTCATCAGTGAAGCACTTGTTCCGGAAGTGTTCGAACGAAATCAGTTGTGAGTCGTGTGTAAACCGTTTTTCATTCATAAACAGGGGGTTTGGCAAGTGCATGGAATCACTTTTGGGTCTTTGTTTGGAGGACGGGCTGCCAAAACTGACTAATGGTTCTGCAAATGATTCATTCAAACCAATTGGTTCACTCAAAACAAGCTTGAACCCTTGGTCAAGGGGTTCAAAACTGTTTCAGTGTTCTAGTTCTTTTTGTCCCAGTTGTTTGTTGATTGTCATCTGATGCCCAAGATGACAAAGATGGGCACAAAATGGGACTGTTTATATGATTGTATTCAGTACTATACTGTACAGTATTAATATACTGTACAGTATTTAAATTACAGCATGAAAGTAATTTACAGATTTTATGGCATATATTTTGTACAATACCTGAAATTGAAGTCTGTAATGCCTCCAATATAAATATTTGGTTATTAGACAGCTGGACCCTGGATTACTGCCGCTATTTGAAGAATTGTGCCGAGAACAAGTGGAGGCGTTGATACAACCTGTATCAACGTTACTTCTTAACATAACACAGGTAAATACAGGGCTCCTGTACTTCAACGTAAAAACCTGTTACTGTCACTTCATATTGCTTGGCTTTGGCAGAGCTACTGTTACTTGCATCTGGCATCGCTACATCTTTGGGGCTCTTTTACTAGTTGTCTTGGGCATTCTTTCATCTCCAGCCAGCTCATGTTCCTCCTCAGCCTTCTTGGTCCCTTGATAGGGTTTTAGTGTTTCTTTCCTCCACCTGGTTCACGGTTGCCCTTTCTGTCTGGGTTATCTTTTAAGGGGGTGTTTTTGTTAAGATTTTAATTACTTAGCTAAATGAACTGTGGGTTCAGTTCCTGAATCCATTATATGCCCCTGTAACCCTATTCACCATTACTCATGGAATATGTATGAGGTGCATAAAAAATGACTAAATTAAACTAACTCACCTCAGGTTCCAGGGTTTGGGAGCTTCATGCTCTTCTCTGGAGGCAGGAGGAGGGGTTCTGTTCTTTTGATCCTGGTGGATGGTGTCTTCATTTTCAGCTTTCTCCTTTTTGTTCTGGCGAAGAATGAATTGGTTGGCTTCGGGGGAAAAGGGATTTGTCCTTCAGTGATTGATAATTTGTTTTGGCAAGTGGCCGTCCTCATAAACAAAGGCTAAAGCCCATTCAATGCACATGCCAAACCACCAGTTTATGAATGAAAAACGGTTTACACATTACTCACAACTGATGATGTTTGAACACTTCTCGAACAGATGTTTCACGGATAACTTTTGTTTGAACCACAACACAGTAAATGCTTCACCCATGTACTACAAATACAAATGATCACCACCAGAACCTAAAATCCTAACCTATCCAGTGCCTAAACATGCATAATATGCTAATATATAGCAATATTAATTTATATTTGAAAAAATCCCAATTTTAAATGAACAGCATGTTAAAATTGATGAATGCATTTTTGGGGGTCAACTGCTGGATGGAATGGACTTGTTCTGAGGACGGGTTGGGGTAAGGGTGCTTCATTTGTTGTGGCCAGTAGCAGTAATTTGCCGCGACCTGCTAGCCACCAGTTCTGCCTTGATGGATGCCTTGCTCATTGATCCAGTTTCCTCAGTCCCCCTGTTTCAAGATGCATATTTCTCAGGTTGTCCATAGTGTCATTAAAGCTAACTAGTTGGCAGTCTTTCCCCAAGTGCACTTTGTTCGCAAGTTCATGTCTTTGCCTGGATCTTGTGGGGCTGCTTTTCGAACTTGGGAGTTTGTGAGGCCACTCTGGGGCCTGTTGACTCGTTCTGCTCCTCCCTGGTTTGTCCTAAGTTTACTGTCTTCTCCATCATTAGATAGCTTCAGGGAACCACCAAGACACTCCCCAGAAAACCAGAATGTCATGAAAAGCTTCTTTCTGTTTAGGTGCCTTGGTTCATGATTATACAGCTCTAGATTAGTTATTATCCAAAGCAGAAGGCTGGAGCACCCAAGGTGCCACCTAATGGTAGCTATTTGCACTATGGAATTCAATCTTGTCTCAAGTGAACCATTGGCTTTGAATTAATCATTTGCAGAGTTGTTTGGTAGTTTTGTTTCATTTATATGAACCATGCTGTAGTTGTCTGTATTGCTTTGCTTACTTTCCTGATGCTGTCTCCCTGTGGGTGATAAAAATACAGTAATAAAAATACCCATTTCTTTGTGCCTCTGAGAGAGATCAGATTATGGTTCTGGTCCCCAGTAGGCCAAACAGGACTCCTATGATTGCTAGGACTCAGTAGCAGAAAGCCATCTTTGTGAGATAACTTCAGAGTGCCACCGAGGTTCTACCAGAAAGAGGCATTTTATTGCAGTGTTGGTTTTATTTTATTACCTGTGAAGTTTATTCACATAATATGCCTTTGTTGTACAGTATTTCTGTTGACCAGAGATTCAAAAGTTTTTTGTCTTATTTAATTCATAATAGAGCTATTTTTTTCTGGACTCCAAACATTCTTACAAACATGAAAGCTATCTGACATATGGAAAAGTCATAGTTCCAATCTATAAAAACAAAAACATAGAAAGACCCCTTTAATTATTCACTTGGGCAGAATACCTGAAAAGAAATAACATAACAGACAGTTATTTTTTGTTTTCAAAAGGGAAGGTCTTGCTTAACCATTAAACCGCGCAAATCATATATATATATGCTTTCAGTGACAAAACCGGAACCGCGCATGTCATATATATATAATTTCGTGTCTAGCGCTATAATTTAAACACCCCGCCTGGGATAGGGGCAGCTATAGTGCAGCCATGGCAACTGGGGAGCAACCAAAGCTGACGCACACAGCACGAGCTCACAGCACCGCTGTTCAGCTTATGACCACAGCATCGCCTACAAATGCCATAATATATATGTTCATGCTATTATTTTGCGATGATAGTATTACAGAAGACCCCTGACTGTGATAAAACTGACCAGGATTCTGATAATAGCAGGATTGTGGTGATATTAAGCGCTGTGCTCCATGGAGGGAGGAGTAATGCTGTGGGAGGGAGGGTGGTGGAGTTGTCTTCTGACTGTGTGTGGCCACCTTTTATTGATTGCACTCACCATACCAGCTTAGTGGTTCGTTATGGTGAACACAAATGTAGATACTTATATATAATGTGTGTATAGAGTGTAATAACAGTAATAGGAGTAGGTTGGGAGCCGCCATTTTGGTGAGGGAGGTGCATTGTCTGCACGACTTATCACGTTGTTTACTGGTGGCCACTATGGTCTTTTGGCACCATACCAGCTTATTTGTACAGGTATGGTGAATAAAACAGTTAGATATTTATATATAATGTGTGTATATAGCGTAATAACACCACAAACAGTATTGTTGTAGGAGAAATATTAGTGCGTCTGGCCTTGAGGGCGGCCACCACCAGCTGACTGTGTGAGTAACTACGTCTTTGTGCCTTTACTCACCATACAAGCTTAGATGTACAGTTATGATGAACAAAACATGTAAATACTTATATATAACATCTGTGGATAGTGAATAAATGCAAAAACAGTATTGTGAGAGGAGAATGAGGGCGAGTGAGGTGTTGTTGAGGGAGGGAGTGGCAGCGAGTGGCTGGCTGGTGTGTGGCGGTTACTCCTCATTGCATTTTGACTCACAATACCAACTTAGTGGTTCGTTATGGTGAGCAAAACATGCAGATACTTATATATAACCTGTGTATATAGTGTAATAACAGCAAAACTATTTGTTTATTGTTTTATGAACATAATTGAATCACTAACATGCACACCATAATTTTAAATACAGCAATGGTTCACACATTTTATTATATAAATATATCACAATTCACTGTATTGAATAATATTACTGCAAAAAAACTAAGAAAAAATCAGAGACATTGAAATAAATGGGTAATAACATATTTGTGGCAACTGCCGCCTGACAGCTCGAGCAGAGTAGACCTCGTCTGGCGAAGGCTCTGTTAATGCCCCTTTTTTGCCAGACTTCCCTACCCTATTGCAGCTAAAATAGGCACCTGCGATTTTTTTGTTATTTTTTCCGTGATCATGGAACAAAAATGAACACTTTTATAAGATGAAAGAATTTTTTGGATTTTTTGTTGTTGCACCTGTGGGTGTTAAAGCCATTTGGACCCCCTAGCGGTTTGAGGGTTAACAAATGTTTTTAGTTTTTACTATAGTTAGAGATCTTGCCAGAAAGGGAAGGTTTGACCAAATGTTTATACCTGGATCTATATAAAAGCTTTTGATAGTGCTACACAAGAGTTTCTGAAAGTTAGAACAAATTGGAGGGGTGTGACAGGCAGACTATTAACTTGGATGAACATTTTTGTAATGAACATACAAATGAGAGCAGTGAGAAGAGGCAGTGTATCTGA